GCAACCTACATGATCGTTTCCGCTTTCTTAGGGCCTTGTTAGCCAAGTGTAGTTGATACTCCTCAAAGCACAGTGAGAGCATAAGGTCCATATCTACAATATTTTTTTAACTTTGCAAAAGCAAATGCATTCAAGTAAATACAGAGAATAAGAGAACAGACAAAATCTTAGTAGCTTGCCCTTCATTAAGATTTTTGCTCACTTGAGCCATTACAGAGAGGAGATATACCATTTACATATCAGACTGATCTAAAATGCCAGCAAGTCCCCTTGGCCAGGGCCAGATTAAGAGCCCAGTGGGCCTGGTGCTAACAATTATGACGGGCCTAATTACAGAATCATATCGACCAAAAACAGTAAAACACTCCCAAGCATCATGTATCTGATGGATGGTACTGGAGAGAAAGAAAACAGCAGCTATAAGAAAACACACACCCTAGGCTAATGTCTCACTAATTTATGTTTTCATCTTTCAAGTAAATCCATAACCCCCTAACAGCAGTGTCCAGTCAAGCAGGAAGTCAATGGGCATGGTAAAAGGGTGTGCCACTGACACAAATCACGTAACCTGCCAAAAGGGGTGAACATGCCCAAAAAGAGAACATGTCTGCTCAAAGAATTAGAAGGCCAGCCTGGCATGAATGCACGTCAGGCTGCCTGCCAATCATGCAGCTGGCCAACTAAGGGCATACTATGCAGACAGCACCCTAAGCTTGGCATAAATGCATCTAATGATGCACTCACTCAACGCTTTCTAAGGACTGTCCCCTAGCACTTGCTGGTCCACTTGTCTCCTTACCTTCTTACTAGTAGGCAGAAGCTCCTGGTATATGGTCTGGGACAGAGAAAAGCTGTATGTAGTGAGTGTAGAAGAAAGGGAACATGCCACAGTGTTAGAGACCAAAGTCAGCATTACCTTAAAGGATCACTATAGGGTCAGGAACACAAACATGAATTCATGACCCTATAACACCACCATCTAGCCCCCCTGGGCCCCTCATGCCTCAATAAATATAGCAAAATCTTACTATATTCAAGCCTGAAGCTGTAACTCTACATGCTGTTAGACTCATAAAAACAAGCAGTCTGCTGACATCATTAGAAGTGGTGGCCTGATCCAATCACAGTGCTTCCCCATAGAATTGGCTGAGACTGACAAAGAGACAGATCAGGGTCAGAGCCAGCATGATTCAAACACAGCCCTGGCCAATCAGCATCTCCTTATATAGATGAATTTAATTAATGAATCTCTATGAGGAAAGTTCAGTGTCTACATGCAGAGGGAGGAGACACTGAATGTTTGGATGCATTTTAGGCAGCCATGACGCAGGAAGGATCGCTAACAGTCATCTAAGGAGTGGCCAGTGAAGTTATCACTAGGATGTAATGTAAAGACTTCATTTTCTCTGAAAAGACAGTGTTTACAGCAAAAAGCCTGACGGTAACGATTCTTCTCACCAGAACAAATTCAATAAGCTGTAGTTGTTCTGGTGACTATAATGTCCCTTTAACTATATTCATTGTCAGCCAGTCCACACAAGTTTTGTTCCCATACATCCCACTTAAGTTTCCATACTTAAGTAACAGTATGTGAAAAGTAGTTAGGATTGCCACCTTTCTTGGAAAAACATACCGGCCTTACTAATTTGCATAATTAAATATGTATGGATGACATCACATGATGTAAATCACAAGGAGTGACATAAGAGAAAATGCTGTAAAATCACCAAAAAACTACTTAGTTTGATTCTTCTGTATAGATGGATTCTTCCCAGTGCCCCCATGTCTCCCAGTGCCCTCATGACTCAGTGCCCCCATGTGTCGATTACTCCAGGTCTCAGTGCCCCATGTCTCCCAGTGTCCCCTAGTGTCATGTCCCCAGGTCTCCCAGTGATCCTATGTATCACAGTGTCTCATTGCCCCATGTCTCCCTGTGTCCCCATGTATCCCAGGGTCCCCATGTCACTAGGACATTAGGAAGGCGGGGAGACCTGGGGACACGGGGAGACCTAGGGACACGGAGACACCAGTGACACTGGGAGACTAGGGGACTCTGGCTGGGATACATGGGGACAATGGGAAAGTAGGGGACACTTGAAGACATGGGGACACAGACACCAGGGACACAGACACT